AAAATATATCAATCGACCACTACGTACGGCAAAATATACCCACATATATTTTACCGTACATAGTGGCCGATTGATTTATCACAAACTAAATGTCCAAAATAAGCTTTCAAAGGTAATTACATCCACAACCCTCAGTTGCAAAACTAAAATCAAACATATCCCTTTTTAATACCAGCAACCCTTAATTAAAAAGGACATTTATAGAGGGTATATTTTTTCGTAATGACAAGACTCATATCGGAAATGAGACGACCTGTATTGCTTTTTGTACACAATATTAGGGTTGTGAAGTAATCCGTATCATCTGCTACTGGGGCAATTATTTGAAAGGGAAGTTGTACGAACCGCACGTAAGCTGGGCGCGTGGACGCCCTAATTGTTGCCCCGATAACCAATATGAGCTTAGTAGGGTGGCCATGGATTTTGTAATATTGTTTACGATATTAGTAGGGCCTTGCTTGGGTCATCCTAATTGTTGTGGTGTAAAGTTGGTAAGCTAACAATGGCTTCATTGGTATCTTGGCTTATAAATTATCATTAAACATCATACATTTTTCCAGACATACATTTTGCAGCTAGATCAGCTATATCAGATGAGTGTTCAGATTTTTTCGTCTAATTTAAAAGTTTCCGCAGAAAATAACACTTGTTTAAAATTAATATTTCAAATGCCTATCGAAGGATAAAGATTGATTTTTTTGGGTGCTATACTGGTTTTTATCTTATTCTCTCTATCATCATCTTTACTGTTCCAATATCTAAGAACAATATTTACATACACAATAAATAACTCCAAAGTTCTCAAGTAATTCCACTGAAGAATACCTAGTCAGAATGCGCATACGTATGTGAACTACGATATAATGATGAAATAACATGTACCTAGTTGATACATAAGTTAACTTCGAAATGAACAGTTCCAGCAAATTTTTACTTATACTTTAGATATCAGGGGATATTAAAACTATATTTTTCAAGTTTTATTTTGTAATTAGATTATCCTCTGATCCGAAAATCGCCAGTCAAGAAAAGTGATTGATGAAGGCTTTGGCGTCAAACGAATTCGGTAGATAATATCTGTTATAGTTAACAGATATTATCTACCGAATTGGTTTGGTTTGACGTGAATGAGTAAAAGAATCGCGAATACGAATTTCGGTACAGGCCATGGGGGGGGGGGGGGGGGTATGTATTTTTGTCAATTTGTAATTTCTTTTAGAGCAGCTAAATCTATTAAAAATATGTAAGGTAGTATCCCGATAATAGGCATCTTGTCATAGAAAGTAGTAATTATCGTCGTCGTTAGCAAATTTCTCAGTATTTTAGGCATTATTTTCGATTTTAAGCAATGCCATTACTTATCATTTATCAGTTCACATCACACTAACGATCTGGAAAAATAATATTCCACAAAGTTTTACCTCTGCACTGTATTTTTCCCATACCACGTTCCACTCGAGTCGCCACTCTATCCGTCCAGATAAGGCACGCACGGTTCCCCTACTGTGAATGTCAGTGAATTATAAATTATAGTAGTGCAGGGTGCGTCATTGTGTGTCCTTTCTCGGCGACTATAGACCGCAGCGATTGACTGCACCCCGTGGATCTACCGTGACGCATTGCTTTTGCCAAATAGTGCTGTTAACTGCGTCACGCTCGGTATAAAGTCGATGTTTTCAATATATCATGTTCTAGTCCGTTGGATGAATTCTTTTACATTTATAGCATCAAATAAGGAACGTTTTTCCTCAAAATTTTTTTTTTTGAAAATTTGAAATTCAAAGTTTTTTGAAAATATAAGTTGTTGGCTGGAAATAAAACTGACTGCGTAAAAAATAAGCTTATCAAAATATATTGTAAATATTAACATTGCACTAAGACTTGATGACTTTGTAATACACATAATAGGTGTCCAATGCACTTTAATACCGTGATGTTGCAAACGGCCAAAAATTTATCAGGCAGGAGGTGTATGTTAAGAATATGACATACAATTCTTTAATGTTATCACAAATGTCATATCTTTAAATATAAGTAAGTTTATAAAATAAAATAAAAATATTTAATAACATTTTCACCCCTTCTCTCATCGATCAAACTGTACAAATTGATAGGCGCAACTAAGTCCATCACTACGCTTAATACGTTCATAAGTGTTGTTGCCCAACATTTGCTCCATTATCCCCAGTCCCGTCTGCCCAGCCCCTATAAATGATTACATTGTAACAAGAACATCGATTAAAAAGCGCACCAGTTTGTGTACAGCCAAAGAGAATACATCAACTCTATTGTCGTCAATTTTGGTATTCTTGTATTATAAGGACTCTATTTATATTGCAAATTAATATTGATGTTATGGCATGTATTTAGCACGATTTTTTATTGATTAAGGAAGAACTAGTTCTGTGACTTGTTAATTTGTAATATATATATTTTACATCCATGTAGGTTAACGGTTACGATGACTGCTCCGATACGGTTCCTATCCGAATTATCGTCTATAAACTATTGCAAGAACGGTATACAGAATGATTTTTTGGATTTCTGAACTGATGTAAAGAAAGAGGTTAGTCGAAGAGATTTTCTTTGTGTAAGTATAAAATATATAATTTAAAAATTTTGTCGTTATATAAAATCACTATTTTTCTGCTGTTTTTTTGTCAGTTATTGTTGTTTTTTATTATATCTCAATCCTTTTATCTTGCAACGAGTCAGGATCAGGTTAGAAGTGTACTAATCATTATTCGAACAGAATCACTCATTTGCAAGGACTTCGCCACTTCCCTACTTGTCTATTAAAATGCTAAATAGGGATGTTCTCGGTCCAATGTAACACCAGTATAGATGAGCTCAGTCCGAAAATGATTTATTTATCATTTAGTTCTTACAGAGCTCTTTTGTACAAAGAAATTTCCAATAAATAGAATATAATGTTCCTTATTTACATTTCGTTCTATAGATTTGAGTAATATCTTATGAAATTGTTCAAATAAACTGACCGTTAGTCTTGAAAGCGACTGTAGAATGCAGCGAAACAATATACTTTAGGTAATTACTGTATAGTAAGTAATATTTACCACTGTAGTTTATATAAAAAAGTAAGTGAATAAGTAGTTCGATAAAAAAAGTAACACAAATATTTTCAATACATTTATTTTTATATAAAATGCGCTTTCCATTTTATCACGGGCCGGCTACAAGCTGACATACAAATTTACATACGAATAACATTTAAGCTTGTACATGAAGAAGCAAATGTCGACCAACGTTTTGTTGCTCTTTAATTTGCAATTTATTCAATGAACCACGTAATTCTATTGCTCGAAATTGCTTCAATTGAAGACTTTGGTGACTATTCGGCAGACAAATTGAGCTCAATTATTTTATTTATTTAGTTCGAAGCTCCTATGGTCCTCAAAGTTGACGACTAGTTCAGATTCAAGATATAGTTTGAAAGTGAAAAACACTTATAAGTAAGTTCTCAATAGTTTCATAAATGTTATAAGTGCTGTGCTAACAATTGATCGAGAACCATCAAAAACGTTCCTAACACTTATTTAGCTGCCAACTATACACTAAGAATAAATTCTTTCAAAGGCGCTGTATGAAAATTTAATAACAAAAGTGAGAAAGTTTAGGTACAAGATGTATATAAATATTATAATAAAAATATCTTAGACACAATTAAGCGGTTATAAAAACATTTTCTCAGTTCTACAGAAACAGCCATTAAATCGGCTAATGACGGTATAAAACTTTTTTACGGCGACATTTAGCAATTTAGTCAGCTGTTTCGGACAAACTGACACAGTACAAACACACAACAGTAGTTTAACCTCAGTGCTTTCTTAAAATTACTTATTTAAATGTGTAATTAAAGTCAGTTGTAGATCATTAAAATGTGTTCTACTTTAAAGGTTAAATTACTGTCCTTGTTTTGTATTGTTTTGAGATATCTAATTTCATTAAAGTAAGTAGGAATATCTTAATAATCTTACAAATACTAACAGGTATACACTACCTAACTTACATTTTGTTTATAAAATTAAACATGACATCCATAAAATAGCCATCACTTGTTCATAAGTGAGAGCGTCCTGGCCGCCTCATACAATGAAGTAATGAATTTATAAAATTTGGTAAGTACTGAGTGTTATTTTTTTTTATGTACGTGTGAGACTTAAAACAACATAAAATAATATATTTACAGTTTAAAAATAGTATTTACAAGACTTACATTAAGCTTATAACTAACTTCAGATTTTTTACTAAAACTAAAGGCAATCTCTCAGAACTTAAAGGATTGTATTAGTAGAATTGTGATACCAAATTTTTACTAACATAATAATTAGATTTATGATGAGAAATTGTGATATAAAAACAAATATTGTAAAAATGCTCCTAATATAAATTGTATAATTAATAAAGAAAAATATCTTTTAAAAAACAAATTGCTTTCATATTTAATATCATGATATCCATTTTGCAAATATGTAAAGTTATTTTTTTAACTGAAAATAAAATAAATATTTTTAAAGAAAAAATAATAGCGTTTAACTAATACGAATTAATAAAATACATGTAATATGTAGCGTTAAAAATAAAAAAAGTAAGTAAGAAACGCTGAGACAATATATATCCTATATACACTAATATATAATACCCTCATTACGTGATACATAGACTAAAAGGCACATTTTGTACCTTTTAAAGCAACGGTATTCCAGAAATACATAAGGTGCATTAAAGTGCGATTTTGTAAATACCATACAACATCGTCTCCGCTATAGAAAATGGTATACTTTTATAGTTAGAGGTTATAAAAATGTATAGATAATAGGTGACAGTAAATAAATCTAAATAGACAGTAAAGCTGAATACTTAAGTAAACTTTTGGCAGTTTAAAAATACTGGTCGCGCTCACAAACGTGTACACAAGCATATCGAACGTACATAAAACATTCATTAACATAACACCTTTGATCTCTTTACGTGATTCTTTAGACGGCAGAGTTCTTCCCGATGATAGGTCCGCCGCTAGTGGCGTATACTCTATGACCGTCGAATTCGACTGAAGAATTCCTCTTGATAGCATCATCGCCTGTATCTTTCAGTGGCTCCTTTTCATCCCTATGATATTAGATGTATATTAGACATTGTTTGTGTTCTTTCTAATAATTAGCATCCTGTATTTACACTGCATAAATTTTCTAAAGTTAAGTTTTTCTAAAAACTATAATTCAATTATTTTTTATAAAACGGTAAAACAACAATGTTACTTTTTATAAATAAACACTTAACTTTAGAGCGACCAAAACTAAAACTAGGCTTTAATGGATTTTAATGTGAAAAACAATTATAATACACCGAAAATGAAAATTGATAGAATGTCAAAAAAGCGAACACAACAACAAGCAAACGATTAATGCAATGTATATTCGATAAAAACTGCAAACACAAAATACAAGCCGCAGACCTGAAGGTAACGTATTATAAAATAGTTTTATGGTAATGAATATTTGATTTTCTTACACTGGCGTGGTCGGTACATAACTACACGAGGTTGATATGAGGCAGCATCGGGAAAGATAAATGTATTTGTTAGTGGATTGTGCAAATAGGAAAGAAACTACAGTAATACTGAAAACCTGTGACAATAAACAATAGTGCATTAGGAAAAGTTACACACAACCGGAAGTGGAGGGATCAAAAATAAAGTGAGAAACAGAAAAAAACGAAAAGTTCATAACTGTAGGTAAGGTGATGTCGAAAGAGATGTTCCATTTAAGTAGAACTCAGCGAAAAATCATATTCTATTAACGTGGCACCACCTTATAGATAGATAATATAAAGTCACACAAATCTTTAGTTGAATGAAATTAGTTATTTGATAAAGCGTCACTGTACACTACTTCACAACTACACTATACTTTAGTCTAAAGCATTACGGTTTCTATAATAATACTCCATTGCTATTTACAAAAGGCAAAACGCGAAGCTTTTCGTTGGATTATGTACACACTGCTCAGCCCCAGCGAAAATTATACGTACTTTTCCGCATTCTATTAAATACTATAATTGTCCTCTCAAACCAAACTTTTTTTTGGTCAAGAAGCTTCTCCTCACGATTGCCGAACCATACCATCCGCACAAACAAAGCATGCAGGCAATCTCAAGTTTTCGTATGGCTATTGTGTGGTGCCTTACGTAGGGGTCGGCACCAGCTTGACGGGTGGCGGCAGGGGCGCAGGGGAGGGCGGCGCGCGCGGCTTCGTGCTGCAATAAGGGAGCGGGAAGCGCCAACCGTACAGACTAGCGGGCAGAAACATCTCTCATCGACACTAACACTTAATATGGAACCGGGATAACAAAGGGGCAGGCTTCGATACGATTAACACAAGGAGAAATAGATAGATAGTAACAATTATAATCATAAATATCTGAAGTGGAATAGTTATGATGTCGATGAAGTGCTATCTGATATATACTAGAAATTAATAGAAAAATGGTTTACATATAAGAATAAAAAATTGTTATTACCTTCCCAGTTTGGCTTCATCGTCGTTATGCTTTTTACCACGCTTCCCACACATTGTGGCAATAACTCCTTGCCTTCTGAAGCACAAGAGAAGAAGATCCACGATGAGGAGGCAGATGAATACTCCAGCGAGAGCCAATCCAATTATTGTCCCACTTGACAACATTTGCGGTGGTGCAAAACCAGAACGTTCTACGCCTGTAAAACATGTTATATACATGACTTTTTGTGAATATATTTAAGCGCAGTAGAAGCAAAGTACCGACATTGTAATAAAGCGATGATTGAACTCTAATTATAAGGTACTCTTATCTACTGCTCTTTTTAAGGTTAGTGTTTGCATCATGTCACAGAAGCTGAAGATGTTAGATGACATGTGAGTGATTGTAATAAATGCAGTTTTAGCTCAAATATATTTTATATTATGTAGACGCATTTTGTTGATGTGCATTTCGTATCGAGCCATTTAGACATTCATTGCAATCAGCGATTTGTGGACAAACAGGGAGTGCTTTCAGATAAAAAAACCGTGCACCCAATCACCTGTAACTATTCTAGTTTAAAGACATATATAAGTATTCTGATAGAAAGCTCTCCTATTGAATGAAATGGGGTTTGAATGGACATGAACTGATGACCAATGACAGAAACGAAATATGATGATGCATAAGTCAAAGACCTTATAATTAATGATAACAATAATAGTATAATAAAGTATAATCATAAGAAAGAAAAGTTGTCAAGATGCAAACATTCCAAATGATTTTGTTTATCGCAAAATAAATGTTCAAACCCCATGACAAATATCGATTCTAGTTAAGCGTTACCTATGGTAAACAAATATACTTACAATAATAATTAGGTAATATAAAAACATTAAAAAAAAACTATATATTGGATGGATATTTATTGGCCATCACCTTAGGATACATAAATTATCTTAATTAAGAGGGAAACATAAATTACTACAAGAAAAATGTTACCCAAGTACAAGAGAATGTCAGATAAACATTTTCCAAGCAGCGTATTCTTTAAACGTTTCTTCTAAGAAAACCTAAAACCTGATGAAACCGCCAATATTTGTGGAAACATGTGCTAGGAGTACAAAATATACAGTAAGGGGATTCGCTTGATACGGTAGAGGACTAGCTTGGCAGTTCCATAGATTACACCATCCATGCTTAGAAAAATAAATTAGGTATGACTTGACTATGACTTTAAAAACCCAAAAATGAAAATTTCTAACATCATTGTCATCTAATATGACCACTAAGATATAATAAAAATGGTAAGGACAGATGTATATATGGGTAGGAGCCGGTATGTTCATTTTTGACGATGTTGGGACCATGCTATCACGCTAGAATGTTGTGATTCAAATCAGCGCTTGAAGGGTGTACATGAAGATCATGCAATAGTAATTAGTACATTCCAAAGGAAACTATGCAGCAGGATTATTAACTATTAAAATATCATATTAATGTAAAATCATATTTACCCAAAATTTCAGTCAGGGCGACAGAAACACACTTGTGTAACGATCAACATTCATAAGGGTTAATGGACTTCTTGAGAAGCATCTTGACAGCTTTCTTTTCGATCGCTTTTTACAGTTAATTTGTTAGTTCAATGAGGTACATTTAAGGGATGAGGGTTATGTTAAAACTAAATTAAATGGATTTTGGTGATGGTAGTTTTAATAAAAAAATGAATGAAACTGTTACATAATAAATAATCACATATGATACAATATTTATTCGGTACACGCTATATTTACGTAACATTCATTCATTTTCTTTAACTGTACATAAAACTGCAAATAGCCAATTTGTTTCGAAAACATTTATTTATTTTCACATTGGTCATTTTTCTCCTAAAACAGATCACAATTCTGAACTCCTTGCAATTATAGAACTTTTGGCTAACTACATTATACTTTCAACCTTCACACATTCAAATTTCTTATATGATTCATAATCTTTAAGATGGACGATTCTTTCTCATTCCCATTTTTACACTTATCAAAAAGACAAAATAGTCATCAAAAATTCGTACACAAAACTTATGAATCCTTATTCAAGTCTATGTTAAAATGCAATGGATGCCTTAATTTTTGGCATTATTTCTTAATTAACACTATACGAGTATATTACGAGTTTATATTTTGGCAGTGTTAATTTATTAGCCATTAAATTACCTATGTAATATTATTAATAGATTTGAAAATAACTATTGAATATACTTTTCGTATATTTTAAAATGATATTAGAATTATATTTTACTATAAATTCACACGATTGAAACTACTAAAGCTCCGAAATCATTTTATGATATTTTCAAACACAAGTAACATTTATACCTATTTACACAATAACAAATTGCTTTATCACAACAAGTATATTCCCTAAATAACAACAGTCGTCTTTGGACTTGCTTAATTTAGAAGATTATTAGAATATTTAACTAGTATTTATACTAGGAAAAGTGTTATAAATATCGTCGCTACGATTTCCATTCTATTGCGACCCCATCTGAAATGACTTGAACATCCATTTGGGTTACCTAGAAAATATTTTATAATGATAAATACTTATAGGTAAAAATGCAAAGAATTGTTTTACTATATAAAATTTTTAAAATAAAAGAAAATACAGGCAATTTAAACTTACCACCAAGAATAAATTAACACCAACATAATATAAAGTCGTGAACTTGCGTTATAAAACTATACAACTAATAAATTTTAATAATTGTTTTTAAAATCATACTTTAATATTAAATTAAAAGAAAACATGCTCAAAGATGATTCAAGTGGAAATCATTTTAAAATATTAAAAAAAATCGCACATTTAAATAAATGTAAATAACAATCTTATGTACTGATTATTTTGTAAAGGCAAGATTGTACAATAAACACAAGAGATTGACTTGATTAATAAGTCGTACAGCAAAATGAAGGAAAATAAATAACACAAATTGGTTAACAAGCGGATATCTTACTCTATTATTTAACTAAAATTGTACTTGATAAACGATAGGAAAAACATAGTACCAATGAGGATATTTATATGAAAATAAATTCGTTGTAAACATAGTTCTCAGGAGCATATTAAAAATAAATATCTAAAGCACAAAACACTAATTAGAGGTCACAGTTCACAAAACCAAACACAAAACAGAGATACATAGGCTGAAGAAGTAAGAAATGGTCGCTGCTTTTGAAGGCTTTGGTTCTAAGGCGGTATAAACATCGTAGAAGCCAGCTTTTACTGGGACCTCGTTACTCTCCTGATTGTACTCACCGAGAGCAGTTTGGACGTAAAGTTGAGCAGGCAGGGAAAACCCGAGGACGTTGTGGGCCCGAACTTGCATTCTATAGCGAGTGTCAGGTCGGAGACTACGTACTTCGTAACTGATTGCCTCTAGAGATTTAAGCTCCTCAACGACGCACTCAGATTCAGATGCAATGCGCCATTCACCAGTTACCTTTTGCACCTAAACAAATACGACAACGAAAAATGTTTAAAACATAAAACATGCTCACAATATACTAAGTTTTTTTATCCTATTTCGCTGAAAGTTGTCTTTATTTCCCCCAAATGCGAAAAATACATTTCAAGCTGAATGTTCCGTTCTAAGAGGCTTTGAGATGTTGGAGAAAGTACCAAAAGTAACAAGTTAAATATCAAAATTCTATCATCTTATAGAAGTATAATAAATCATCCAGATAACAAATCTATTCAGAGCGTGTATATTGTGTGAGGCAATGAATAAGAATACAATAAACAACTTACAGGGCAGTAGTTGATCTCATACATATCGATGGGTTCGCCATTATTGGCGGGTACTCTCCATCTTAGTTCAAATCTATCCGCGTATTTGCCATGCACGAGAGATTCTGGACTTTCATTTTCCCACCATTTCGGTTGTTCCGGAGGTGACCTGAAACAAAATATACAGCGTGTGACGATGATTGAGACAAGATGAGAGTCCTTTTAAGAAATGCTTGATCCGCTTTCTGCCAACCAAGTGTTAAATAATTATAATCAAAGCGGTTACTTACATTAATTGTAACCGCTTTGAATCGTATATCTGTAATGTTTTTAAACAATTGTATACTTTAAAATATTTTTTCATTGCCTTTTGTGTTGGGGCGTTTTGGGATCTTATTTCTAGTATGACACAGAAATATAATAAGGTCAACGTAACTAGGTAAATGCCAAAAAGATTAACGTATTTTTTTGAATCCCTACTTACCTTCTAGGCATAATGACAGTAAGAGGAGCTCCCCAGCTACCGGGCCCGACCTGATTGATGGCAGCGAAGCGGAAATCGTAGGTAACCATTGGTCTCAAATTTTCAATAATGTATGGTGAATTGACGGACCAAGTCCTGTTCAGGGACAGATTCCAATCAAAATTACCATTCTCCTTGTACTGGGCTATGAAGGCCAATATTGGTGGTCCATCGTCTTCAGATGGCCCATTTATATTGAATGAAACCGACGTCGCTGTTATCAATTCTTGACGTGCCTAAGAAATACAACACAAGAATTTAATGTATTAACCGGATTAGTACTTTATTGTTAAAACAATTGTCGAATCTTAATTGTAGCTAGTGTTACGGAAGTGCGAACAGGACTGGAAGTTACAAACGAATTCGTTATATTTATTTACAAGCAGCCAAGAAAACACACATGATTCTCTCTAATATATCTTTACTTGACAATGCACTCACTATTCTCTTTCTATCTTATTTCAAGAGGAAGAAATAACACCGTATTTCCTCTTTTCATCTTGTTTTCCACTCCCTACACTTTTACTTTTATGTATTTGCCTGCCGAAAATAATAGAATTCTAATTTCTGTAGACTTTTCAGTCGTTCTCATGGTGGACTCCGAAATTTAATAACTACATCCAGAACACGCCAAAAATCAGGATTAGAATCGGGAAACAAAATTCTAAGTAACATACCTTGTAACAGTTATTTTTTTTTGTGCATTTGTGATACGTACGATATTGATAAAAGCGGCACCTGTTTGGCCGCATCGCTTTGTTGTTGATTTATCTAAAGTAGTTTGTAGCTACGGTATTGATCTCCTTTGTTCACTTTCGGACCACTAGATGGCGTTGGTTTGAGACATAATAGATTGATAAAAAGACTTCCTTTTTTAATCTGTTTTGTTATTCTGTCATGTCAAATTGTATAGGTGTTGAGAGTGTTCAGCTATGGTGGAAAGCAAGTTACGTTTGATTTTGTTAGCGTTGTTTTATTTCTCAATGTAAATGTCAAAGTGAAATGATGAGGAGGGGTTAACTTCTGGAAGATTCCTGAACCGAGGATATATAAGTCCGGCTTTCTACCACGAGAGACACTCTGCTATCTCGTGCCTTCCAACCTTAATAAGTGTTTTGATTGTCGTGTGATTTGATTTTCTTAGTATATTATCTGTTCAAAAGTACCCACACTAAAGTGGTGAGTATGTTCTTAATTCTACTTAAACCTATTTGTTTCTGGAACCTGTTTAATTATATGAGTGCTAATCCATTCGTAGGGTCCCAGATTTCGGGCTCAAGACGGTCAGTCTTAGACGGCGTGCTTGCACTTTTGTGGCCTTCTGGTACAGACTCAAGTTTCTTGGTACCCTCTGGCAAGGCTGGTGATTGCGCGGCTCACGACGCAAGCGGACGGCCGTACCCGGGAGTTACGTACTTGGACTTATGATTACAAATTGTTAAAGCTTTTGTCCATATCTAATATAAATAGCCGACTCGGGCGGAAGAGGAAGTAACCTCCTGGAGGGACGACGAGGAGGCACCGAGCACCATCAGCTCGGCTCTGACGCGCTCCGCTGCGGTTTTTTTTTTTTATACCCTCTGATTTTTTTTTATTGTAAATTTAATTTTGTTTTGAAATATACATGTATGTATGACTGAGGTGTAAGTTGTTTTCCTCTAAAGAGTCCCGTAGGTTTCCCACACGCACACACTTCTTTTCTCTTAGAAGGCGCCCTGAGGTAATCTCATAGATCTCTCCACTGGGTCAGCCGGTGAGTAGTCCGCCTGAGAAGAAAAGCGGCTACAAATTGGCGACCAACGTTTGGCCAGTGATCCAAACCTCTGTGTGTGTGCTGTGTGAGGGTGCCTAAGGGTATTCACTTTGGAGGAGACACTTCCCTCCGTCCGATACTCCCCAGGACGTTAATTGGTTGTGCGGGTGCAGTACGCATGTAATAATTTTACCCTCATTGTATTTTCAGCCTATCGTACCATCATCCCTGAGGCAAGGAAAATCAGTGAGACACCTAAATTCCAAATTTAACTCAAAATTCCTACTGCACATATTTCGGGTAAGTTTTGAAACATTTTCTGGCCTAAATTTTTTTTTCTTTTTTTTTTTGAGCTACTTCTGTTCGTACCTTTGAGGTCCGTAGCGTGAAGTTGTGCATACGTGTATATTCAGTGTGTTTTCTTTCCCAGTACTACTGGTGTAATTTACTTGAAACTTAACTTAACTTATAAAGTTTTATGTACCCTCCATTTTTTATATAACCTCTTGGCTTAAAATTAGAATAAAATAGTTTTGTGATATACATACCCTACTTAAAATTTATGTCGAAATAACTTTTATGATAATTAAACTTTGTCAATTCATTGGATTACTATGTCAATATTCTAAAGATAATATAACTTGTCTTAAATTTTTTTGTCGAATTAACTTTTATAATAAAAAACTTTGTCATTTCATTGGATTACTGTGTCAATATTCTAGAGATAGTATAACTTGTGTCTTGAATTGTGAAACAAGAATATCTTTGTCTTTAGTTGAATTTGCTTCTCAAGTTTTGAGAATTACTTAATGTTTTAATATTTTATTATAATATTTGTTAAAAATATTAGTGTGCTTTAACCTTCTCACACTTAATAGTGAAGAAGTATACTCAGTTTCTACTTTGAAATATTACTTGATATTTTAATATTTTATTACAATATTTGTTAAAAATATTAGTGTGCTTTAGCTTTCTCACACTTAATAGTGAAGAAGTATACTCAGTTTCTACTTTGAAATATTACTTGATATTTTAATATTTTATTGTAATATTTGTTAGAAATATTAGTTTGCTTTAGCTTTCTCACACTTAATGGTGAAGAAATATACTCAGTAGCAATATTTTTTTACTTTGAGATATTACTTGATGTTTTAATATTTTGTTATAATATTTTTTAAATATTAATTTACTTTAAACTTCTCACACTCTGTTGATAGTGAAGGAGTCTACTCAATATCATTATTTTTTACTTTTTTGAACTGTAAAAGACATTAAGTCTGCATTACTAGTTTGTTAACTTGTTAAGATTATTTTTTTGTATAATCGAATTTAAATTGTAAACCACCATGGCACATGTTCGTAAGTGCATTAACTACCTAAAAATTGATGAACTTATTAATGAACTGTCTTCCATGGCGATTTCAGCGAATCCTGAGGATACGGTTGTCGGATTGCGAAGTGAGATGCGTACTGCTTTGCGGCTTATCCGGCGTGGCCGCTTTAAGGCCATCGCCGCTGTTCCTGCCTTTGCCGCCTCTGACATGGTCTGTCAGCGGGCTTAAGGTCTTTGAACTGGAACAGGTTTTTTCTTCAGGTGACTCCGTTTCGTATTATAAATTGTCTTATTAGAGTTGGGGCTAGATACCTTCTAGATAGGTTAGCCGGTGTAGTTATAACTGACTAGACCTTCTCACGACACCCCTTTGTGACCTGAGGGGTCCATTCACTACATTTCCTACATGGGAAATGTTCTTTCAATTGTGGTCTCGGACTACGTCAAAATTTTTCTTATTTGTGTCCTATGAGGATTGCTTCCGGCCTACTGTCGTGTTTGGGTCCCATATGGATGGCTTCAGGTTATGTCATGTGGTGTCCTATATGGATAACCACAGGCTTTGTAGTCGCGAGTCATAGTATAGAATGTTTTCCTAAACCACGGGGTTCGTAAAACCACTTATATGGCTTTTGGCCCTGTTGAGGATATTCCCTGCGCACACTACGCAGGGAATACTTTGAGGGAGGGGGTGGTGTAACAGTTATTTTTTTTTGTGCATTTGTGATACGTACGATATTGATAAAAGCGGCACCTGTTTGGCCGCATCGCTTTGTTGTTGATTTATCTAAAGTAGTTTGTAGCTACGGTATTGATCTCCTTTGTTCACTTTCGGACCACTAGATGGCGTTGGTTTGAGACATAATAGATTGATAAAAAGACTTCCTTTTTTAATCTGTTTTGTTATTCTGTCATGTCAAATTGTATAGGTGTTGAGAGTGTTCAGCTATGGTGGAAAGCAAGTTACGTTTGATTTTGTTAGCGTTGTTTTATTTCTCAATGTAAATGTCAAAGTGAAATGATGAGGAGGGGTTAACTTCTGGAAGATTCCTGAACCGAGGATATATAAGTCCGGCTTTCTACCACGAGAGACACTCTGCTATCTCGTGCCTTCCAACCTTAATAAGTGTTTTGATTGTCGTGTGATTTGATTTTCTTAGTATATTATCTGTTCAAAAGTACCCACACTAAAGTGGTGAGTATGTTCTTAATTCTACTTAAACCTATTTGTTTCTGGAACCTGTTTAATTATATGAGTGCTAATCCATTCGTAGGGTCCCAGATTTCGGGCTCAAGACGGTCAGTCTTAGACGGCGTGCTTGCACTTTTGTGGCCTTCTGGTACAGACTCAAGTTTCTTGGTACCCTCTGGCAAGGCTGGTGATTGCGCGGCTCACGACGCAAGCGGACGGCCGTACCCGGGAGTTACGTACTTGGACTTATGATTACAAATTGTTAAAGCTTTTGTCCATATCTAATATAAATAGCCGACTCGGGCGGAAGAGGAAGTAACCTCCTGGAGGGACGACGAGGAGGCACCGAGCACCATCAGCTCGGCTCTGACGCGCTCCGCTGCGGTTTTTTTTTTTTATACCCTCTGATTTTTTTTTATTGTAAATTTAATTTTGTTTTGAAATATACATGTATGTATGACTGAGGTGTAAGTTGTTTTCCTCTAAAGAGTCCCGTAGGTTTCCCACACGCACACACTTCTTTTCTCTTAGAAGGCGCCCTGAGGTAATCTCATAGATCTCTCCACTGGGTCAGCCGGTGAGTAGTCCGCCTGAGAAGAAAAGCGGCTACAACCTCAGTATTAACAATCAATGAAAAAGTACACAACATATCCTTACCTAGTTGGCACCGTGGGTAGTGGTAACAGTATAAAAATAAAATTAAAATAAAATAAAATATATTATTGATTGTAATTTAGTAGTAACTAATACTTTCCATAAACTTTAATTTAAATCCGCTGGCACGTTTCTTGAGATATCTTTGCCATTCGATTGCTACAGTATAGACTATACTTACTTGGGTAATCGTGTGAGGTGGAAACGCCTCGCGGAAGTGAATAATGTGCTCATCTTCACCGAGTGTATTAGTGGCAATACATTTGTATGGACCGAACAGGCCTCGATCGGTTGGAGTGACTATGACGTAACTTGAGGGACCAGAGCCATATATCTTTACTTGGGGAGATTCTACTAAATCCGCCTCTCGGAACCTTAAGGAGAATATATACCAATTAGTAAAATAGTAAAAAAAAACTAATGCAATGAAGACTATTTTGCAGAGCATTAACTTTCATATATTTGAGGTGTTCAATTAATCCAAATACTTCATATTAAATATTATTACACATATAACTTTATGTGGCTATTGTAAGCGTTTTTATACACATACGAGTATGTTGCGAAGACCTTGGGTGCTGTTTAACTTGCCTAGTTTAAATTTGTATTTCAACTGCTCAGGACTTGTGACTACTTTAATAACTTCAAACAATCTGGGGGTTCCTCCCTTGAAGTTATCAAGTATTTGTGTTTTGCGGGCGCGGTAAACTTATGGCAAAGACCATTCGTTATTCACGAACTAAGGGGACTTGTGTACTTAATCGACAAACTTCATTTCTGTAGTTAATTATAATCAACTAAATAGCATGAGGATTATTACTAAACTAAATAAAAGAAATTACATAAAACACAAAAACCTTTCACCACAAAGAAATGAGATAACTCTTTTAAATAACAGTAAAATGGCTGTAAGAAAGAGTCATTTTTAGTTTAACAACGTACCTCCATTTAATGGTAGCGTTCGGGATACTCTCCGCTGTACAACTTAAATTAGCGGGACGTTGGTTCCAGCTCCAAATAGGAATCCTAGGCATGTTTTCAAATGTCGGTCTGAACTGAACTGTCAAGTGGCCATTCCTTCTTGCTTCACCACCTGAAATAATATAATAATTACAGTGAACTTATCACCAATAAGATTTGTTATAAATGATAATATTACTTAATTAATTCTTATGAAAATGTATGTAGTTATAAAAGCAACTGAGACCAAAAAAGTAGCCTCGAACAGGTACACACTAACATTAGAGTATAATTTTAGGTAGAGTAGCGTAAGTAAGAGACTAATAACGGGACAGTTTTTTTAAATAACAGCAAAATATATCATAACATAAATTATATAAAAAACAAAAGACCAAAAGCAGCATTACCGTCGTTTTCAGCAACACACTCGTACAGGCCATCATCTGTTCTGTTCAACTTAGAAATTGTTATCACTGCACTGGATTCCATTTGATCACCAGATTGGCGACTGGTCGTATCAATCGTAATCCTAAAAGAAAATTAGATGTAAATTAAGTTTAGAAAACTGAAGGCATCTCTTTATTTCCCTTAATAAACAGTATTAAACATTTAACAGGAGGGGTTTAAGAAAGCTATAAACTTGATTTAAGATATTGGGGTAACCGTAAACATTACGTACCACCTGGGATCATTAAGTAGGTAGTAAAACAGCATTGTTACTAGCTTATATCTTACCTGCCGTTATCGTTAGGACCATTCAGGAAGCGGTCAGGACTGCTTAATTTACGGAAAGTAATACGAGGAGCGGGCCTCCCTGTGGCTCTACACTCTAGGGTAGCTTCTTGTTTTTCCGGTGCGGTTACATTATACAGTTCGAATATTCTAGGTCTGACTAGAACTTCCACTTCAATTTCAGTTTCGTTTTGGCCAGCCTGGTTCACCGCGCTGCAAATATATTTTCCGTAGTCACCGGCTTCGACACGATCAATTGTTAGAAGACCACTGTTTTCTTGAACGCTGAATCGAGATGTACTTGCCAAGTTCTAAGGGCAAGATTAATATGAATATTAAAAATCAAATTAATGTTTAAAGTCAGAATTAAATATGGAGTTTAAATTATTCACATACTTCGCGAGTTGAAGCCCTGATCCAAGAATACGTTGGGTTTGGCTTTCCTCTGGCCTTACAGGATATAGCTGCACTTTCGCCTTCCCTGATTTCTACCCTAGGTTCACGTTCCTCCATTTCTGGTGCGGTATACACCTGTAAAAAGAGCACAACATTATATTAATTTCGAATCATATTTGATTTCTTCTTTCTATTCGTTACATGCTGTAACCTACTTCGAGTTTGATGTTCCTTTCAGCTAATTCACCAGTTTGAATGACCACGGCTCGGCAAGTGTAAGTTCCATCATCACTTTCCTCTACATTTCTAATCATCAATCCGTTCGTGTGAATGACATATCGCTCGCCAGTGACAATCTACAAAATAAATACATGTATTGTTAACAGAATAAAATCAATTACTTAAAGTTCATAGTCAAATTGTTTTGCTTCAATTCAATACGAGCTACAATAGATACAAAAGCTATAATATTTACGTATAGATATTTTACTTACTGGATTTCCTTCTTTGAACCAATCAACTGAAGGTGAAGGCTCCGCAGTAACTTCGCACATGATTTTGAAATCTTTCCCTTTTGTAGCAAACTGGTTCTCATTAGCGTTCGTCCATGTAATAGCAACTAAAATAAAACAAAACTAAACTGTTAACGAACAAATTTCGACCACATTTTAGTTTAATTAACAAATTGTTTCAAGAAATTTCGGGCAAAATGGCATAATCATAATAAAGTTTCTCTAACTAGCTACATCTAAATATAAATACAATTGTTTAGGCTTATTCCTTAAATAGGTTAAACATGATAATAACTAACTGTTACTGTAACGTAACAGTCTTAGAAACTATTAATACATTTTATTATAAAAACTAAATTTCGTAAACCTTACTTTTGACCTGAAACTATTACAATTTTCCCCTAATTTTATGGATTTAAGGTACTGGGTGTGTTAGGTGACGTCAAGTAACCTCAAAATATCTGTGTATTTTGCTGTTCTCTCAAACGAGGAATATGACTAATGACCGAATGATAGACTTGCAGTACTCACCGTAGGTATCGATAATAACACTTGCGCTGAGGGGCACGTTAGTATAAGTAGCGACACAAGTGTAGTTCCCCGCCATGGAGGGTGTGATTGACGATATGTATAGCAGTTGCAGTTGTCTCATGGGCATCGGCTCCGTGTAAATCTCAGGTCGTGTACCGGTGCTACAATTAAAACATAATTTATCTGATTTTTTTATTTAAAATTAAATAATAAAAACTTAAATGAAGACATCGGCGTCATCTGCTGACAATTTTTTTGTATGTATACATGTTTCAGGTTTTTTTTGAAAGATTCTTACTATACTCTGAAGTCAACCCAACAGATGAGTTACGCCTGGTGAAGGGATTGAAATTGCTGTTAAAATAAATATTTATTTTTATTTTATGAGGTTTGATTTTTTTATTCAGAGTTGAAAGAGTTTTATACAAGTAATAAGTTTATTTTATATATCGCAAGTGAAGCGTGACAACATCGAGTAGTGATACAGAATTATAGACGGGGGCGACGCGACAATGAATCTCACACGACTGCATCTCGACTTTATCGTAACAATATTGCGATTTCATTGTTTAAAAAATTACCACAGCAAAACACGCACAGATGGCCACGCAACTCAATACTGGAATTAATGTAAACGCGACAATTGCAGGAACTGTGAAATTCGTCTCTTTCGTCCATCGAACGAGACAACCTAGAGAGTTACTAAAAAAGTCTTGTATTTATCTCAATACATTAGAACGTACGGCCAAAAGTTGTAATGCAGATGCTGGGTTACAAAATTCTCTCACTCGTAGTGGGCGGTGTCCATAAACCCATTTTACAATTACTATTCATATACGTTAGTCGTCACGTTCGTTTTCTAAATAAAGTAAATAGTATTTTTAATTATATTGTTTTCTAACCGCCTAGTTAAGTAGGTACTTACGCAGATTCGTTGATAATGAACCCTTTAGGATCCTTCCATTGTGGTTGGGTGACGAGTTCTGGAGATGGTGCGTCCACCTGACAAGTCATGACTACAGATTTGCCTACAGCTACCGTCTGTTGTTTCTGTTGAGGGAATATTCTGAGAGTCTGGGCTGAACATCCTATGACAAAAGAGAAATCAATATTATAATGAGTTTATAATGTGATAAAAACTATGACTTTAGTTAAAGCAATGGCACGTCAAATGTATGTATGTCGGCGGTTGCCTCTCCGTCATACATTTGACGTGCCTTTAATATTGTATTTTATTATTTTTTCTCACGTAAACATTTTAACTTTGTCTGAAATAAATACTTATTATTATAACTAAATATGTATACTTAAATATATATAGTCCTTTGACCTCAAATTATAATCTCCTCTCCCCATGGTTCTAGGGAGGAGACTCAAAAGGCGACAAAGCACTGTTGAATCTTGAATTGTCGGTATACATGGGCATCGGGTAGTCACTTACCATCAGTGGGGGAGCCCACTGATGGAAAGTGACTTCATAAAAAAATAATGCAATGGCGTCCTGGGATGCATTAGATTAGACTGACGTGTTTTTTTTTATAGATATTCATTTTCCTTCAATTTAACTGAAACGAGCACGATATTGTAGCGGTAGCACACTACTTACTTTATACGCATAACGCTCAATTAATTCAATAAAAATTACATTTACTATACGCGTGGGTATATAAATATTCTACTGAGTACCTACTTAGTTCCGTAAACCTATACTTATACTTGCACTTTAGGTACAAATAGCTTTACTTGAACTAAAGTTCTAAAGTTTTAGTTATTACGGCAAAGGAACGTTATTGACACTGGTGATTATAAAACTTAACACCTACTTGTAACCTTCATATCTGGTCATAATCTTTCTTAGTGACTCAGAAAGTTTCTTATAATATGAACCAGTCATTTAGTTTAATATCATAAAATGTAAAGTTAAAGACACTTTGCTATCACAGTTTTGTTATAAATAGTCCACTAGTACTTACGCATATGGCCAATTTTGAAATTCATTTAATGTATTAAAACAGCCATATCAACCAAATATCAGTTTTACTTCATAAAATTTACAATAAACTCTAAAATTATTAGTATTTGTTTCATTGCTACAGCTAATATGAGCGTCAAAGCAAAGCCCATTTCAGAGAGTCTAATGACATGAATTAATTAAAAAAGGGATATACTAGCGTTTTTCTACGTCTACTCCAAAGTTTGCTAATAAAACATGGAAACCAAATGCACGGTACTATTATAATACAGTATTGTAACTCGGCCGCATGATAGAAATAAATGCCTACAGCCGCGCGGTACGTAAACATGCGTTAGGGCTGCCCGTCTCCAGCATTTTAGTGATATTTGCCTACTTTCTGTTTCTATTTAGATTTGTGATTGTAAATATCCTTTTTATATAAATAAATGAAATACTTTGTATATTGAATAGGAATTGTTCAATAAAAATGCGTGTTGTTTTTTGATTGGTAGATTTAATTAAAAAACATTTTTTTGTTTGAAAAACCAATCGGGCTTATAAATTAGCGACCGAAAAAAAACCTTCTATAAAATAAAATAAATGTGCTTTCTCCATACGCGTTACAAAACTCCAATCCTTAGAAACTCCAACACCTACCACCTACTCAACTAGAATGCAAGAAACAGCTGACGAGTAAGTAACTTTTTATCTCAGCTAATTAACGTCTCTATAAATTACCTAACCTATAACCTACAACTCGCAACAACTCAAAACAAAAATTCTTTGGTCACCAATTAATTAATTATTAAAAAGCTGAACAGCTGACTACGAATGTTTTAAAATCACAACCCTCAAACATCTAAATATTATATATGAGTCTAGCTGTTGTTGTTAATACCGAGAAAATAAAACCAGTTTTTAGTGGTATATGTTGTTATAGTAGCAGCAGAAACACTTTGTGAAAATTTCGAAAACTGTCTAATGACACACAGACGGTAACAAATTTTTTTTAGTATTATTCATACACACAGATAATAAAGATATATTATTAATAATAAAATACCACGTCTTTAAGTAGAATTTTCTTTTTTTTGAATTATGCAAAGTAACAAAACAAACATGCACCGAAGTTTTAACACAAGCGTAAGTAGGTAGGTACCTACCTACTACCTATTTCACTCGTCTCAATAACTTTCCGTTACTCTATTTGCTTTATTTATTCATCCAAACACCTTTTTTTTCGTGAGATAAAAGGAAATACTTATCCATTAAAAAGACACACATTATGTACCTACGTACTAGTAAGTAAAATTATTTTATAGTCTTACTTTTCAGAGTTTCCAGGTAATTTAAAAAAACTTATGTCTGGATGCGTTATTGACGAATTCATACAACCAAAAACAGCACAATATTTCCTACTCGTCATATTAACTGATTTTTAGAGAAAAAATCGCGCGGTTATTGTTAAAAAAACAACACGCAGTCCGTTCGACACTGCGGTACAGCCGTGACTGTCTGCGCCCCGAGCGCACCCCGAGATCGAGGCGCGTAGGTATAGCTCCCGTTTCGTCCGTTTGTATGAAGTTGCAGTACTGTATTATAATAGTACCGTGCCAAATGTGACTAACATTTCGTTTTACTAGTTTCAATAGCAAACTTTTCACTTGTAGTTTGGAATCACTAATGAGATAACAAGATTTAAGAAGAAATAAAAACATTCTGTGTTTGAATTTCAAAATTAGCCACATTGGAATGCAGGGTAAACAAAATAGCCGGCTGGATCCCTACTGCAGGCATAACTCTTTAATTAAGTTTACCGCAATTTATTCGTGGGCACGTGACGATGATACTTATTAGAGGTCTTCGTGTCCCCCGGTGTCCTCATGGTTAGTTAATTACTAAGTGCATAGAATTCGTGCGCGTCCCAAAACACCCGAGTGAGATGTCAAGTTTTCTCATAGCCATACCAAGTAATGAGGAACATAGACTTAAATGCTTTAGATGTTGGTTAATATAATCAGAGACAAGATTCTTAATAAGGTTATCTTCGTTAATTAGGTTCTTTTTATACCTATATCTACCTAGAAATAAATATTTGCAGATAACTACATAGCTGAACTAGTTTGTAAAGATCAAGTGTAGGCTTGGATGGCCACCGTGGGATAACCACGATGTGATTCCTAACCATTCTTTACAAAACCGATTACATATGTTCTTATACGAGTTTGTGTACAAATTATATGTCAGTGTTAGTATGTAGTACATAGGTACGAGTATGTAAGTTGATATTTAAACGCACTTTGTACAAATATAAACTAATCAGGTTCTCACCGAGGTCGCTGAAGTTATAAAATTTATCAACCACCGTTGTTGTATCCGACTTCGTTGTTTATAGCAACACACACAGTTTAAGCGATGTATTCAAAACTACGCTATAAGTACTATTCTTAAATTTTAATGTAATGAAAGAAGATAAATGTGAAACTTACTGAAACGATCCTAAAATAGAGGTAGTTTCCAAGAAGGAAGGATCTCAGTGGAATTACATATTTGTAAAGTTATATCTTACTTCGACACACTGTTGGTTAGTAAATGAAGGCTACATGATCACTAGCCACAACCAAACCTCGTCCGTTTACCAAGGGCATTGTAAGTTCAAGCAGATGGCAGATCATTATTCGCTGGTTTCTATATTATAAATTCAGTTAGAAAGTTAGTGGCAAAACTTGTGATATGACAATATAAATTGAACAGCGCTCTCATATGTTTGTTTATATTGAATATATGAAATCACATTTATCTTTTTAAGAATATGATCAGGCCAGCTAAAACATAACAATCAACAGAGCTATTAAACGGCCCTAATTTTTCTAAAATCTGTGAAGACGTATCTGCTAAGACTAAACTAAATTTCATAGTGTACTCAGGTTCGTTAGGAGACTGTACAGGCTTTTAAAAAGTAAATTTAAAGTAAGTACCTAAAAAACTCTCGATCGTTTTTCCTTTGTAGGAACACAAATAGCAAGACATTGTTCCATGTTAAAAGGTCCTTTAAGTAACTTGTGGATGAGCAAGCTTTTTAATTGTAGATTTAATTAAAGACGAAGTTAGTTAAGCCTTGTGACAAACATATTACGTAACCAAATTAATGTGTATCGAGTCTTCATATTGTGTACAAGCTACGGTTAATGAAACAGTATCGTTCTTTATTTCGTTCCTTGCATATCTATGTAAGACATCAACTTAAGTGTTGTTAAGTCTATTCATAGCAGCACGTCTCGTTATTGCAGGGGTTCTGAACTTCTCATCCCTTTCTTGCTTCAAATTTATCTTTGGTTTGTTCAGAAAAAAGTGAATGTGCCTTTTCGTAACTTTTTGAGTGGGGTTTCTTAGAAAAGTTTTGACAAATTTTTGGGTTGTTGTTTGTTTATCGTTGTTAAGTTATCTGTTATTACGTGAATACAGATGGAAGATATGGTTATCGTTTTGTAAAGACAGAAATCTGTACTAATAACTCTAAAGCAAATTACATTTTTATGGATGAAAGTATTGTTAAAACAATGTTGTTTTAAAATTTTAGCGGAGACCACTTCTTCTTCACATAATTTTTTATAATAATATTGCTCTACTAGCAAAAAATTTCTAAGATTGCACTCAGACAATTTTCTTTTCATATTAATATGTAGGTATAGCTTTTCATATTAACTTTTGATAATTAAGGGTCAAATTTCGATCGCCTTGTGCATTGCATATTGCCCAAATGTTACAGACATCTGTTACTTTTTATAACCATTTCCACGACCTTTTTTGTATAACACGTATTTAGACTTAAAGTTTTGGCCATACTTTTACACATAAATTTTAATCTATGTATATCAAATTATAAGCTAAGAAGTATAAAGAATTCCCTTCGACACCTAATTATACAAGCAATTAGAGAAGATAATATTTTATTTGATTCTCACACGCATGCTAGAGAAATATTTATGTATCGTCGTGTGATTTATTAAATTCAAAAAAATTCATGTCCACAATAACCAGACTGAACAATTATCAGATTCTATGGTTTTTGCAAATAATTTGTTGTATTCCTACATAAAAAAGGATTTATGTGATTTAGTGTGGGTTGAAGCAGTGGCAGATGACCATTAAATCCACCCCGACGGCACGACTGGCCGTCATGTATTTTACGGGGACGTTTTAGAAATAAACTAGCGCAAGTTATAGTCCCTATTTTAATTCAAAGCTCAAATTTGAGCTAAGCTTTGTTCAAAATAAATATACATTCTGGTTCATGCATAGGTGCGTTGTACATTTTGCTACATTCAGTTTCTTAACTTACATATATTTTCCAAACATCTGTCACAGCAATTCATTATAAGTACTTTTTCCATTATTATGAAAATAGCTGCCGAAATTGAATGTGATTATTACCAATAGAACATAAACAAACCAATTTCACTTACTCTGTTACGGGCGGATAACTTTATATTAAATTTTAAATTCAGTAAAAGTTTACAGAATTAAATTAACGTCGATAAAATCGTTACTGAGGTGAACCTATTTATAATTAGTCGAAAAGATTCTGTGGAGGCTTTTCTTTCTGGCTGTTCTTTTTGACATAATAATTTATTAAACATGTATAATTTAGTACTAGGTTTTGTTTTTTGCAAACATTAACAGGTCGGCCTCTATTTTCACTTTTACCCAATTACTTTTTACGAGAAATACTAAAAGTATTCATAATAATTCTTGAGACTATACAAAAGGTGTGATCTTATAGTCATTTTAAATATCAACATTTTTGTGTTTTAAATACGAAAATCTGAAATAAAGTCTTGTTTCATACTATTCAACGTAAATAAAACTTACAAACGCAATAAGATGACATTACGAGGAAACTTTCTTTCCAAACACACACATGTGCCGATTTATCACATATTCCATATTAAATCTGTTCTGAGAAATATCTGCGATACGAAAAGCTTCATCTATATACAACATGTTCTTATGTGTATATATA